TTCCAGTTTGTGCTTACAGGCAAAGGTGAACGAGTAAGCGTTGGCTGGTTCCTGGCCTCCACATCCCATATATGTGGGCCTGTCTGGGAATCGGTTTGTCAGTGGCACTTTCCGTGGTAGGAGCTGCTCTAGGCATTCACACTACAGGCACCAGCATTGTGGGTGGGGTGTAAAAGCTCCACGTATCAAGACAAAGAATTTGATTTCGGTTATCTTCTGTGAAGCTGTAGCTATTTACGGCCTGATCACTGCCATCGTTTTGTCCGGTTTATTGGATTCGTTCACGATGGCAGCAGCATTAGAAAACCAAACTGTAATGAATAATAATTGGTTTGGAGGATATGTAATGTTTGGAGCCGGTCTAGCAGTAGGTCTAGTCAACTTGTTCTGTGGTATCGCTGTTGGCATTGTTGGTTCCGGTGCTGCGCTAGCTGATGCTGCTAATTCTGCATTATTCGTGAAAATTTTGATTGTGGAAATTTTCGGTTCAGCTATCGGTCTTTTTGGTCTGATTGTGGGTATCTACATGACATCTAAAGTGAAAATGGGTGACAAGAAAGATTAAATTAACACAAAAGAGGACAATAGAAGGTGACTTAAGCCATCAGTATCGCAGATGTAAGCACAACTTATCAAGTACCACTAATATACATATACACATTCATATTTATATACATTTGTCCAAATTAGTCTGCATGTTTTTATTTAACTGTCAACAAATTCCAGGCAAAAACCACTGATGAGTCCATTGGCACGCTCTTCTTTGTTTTAACATTATACTTAATTTAACCTCGTGCTGAATGTACATACATATTTAAATTAAAAAACCTGCAAAAATAAGTGAATCATTATATATTGCAAACAATTCTCACACTACCCAATTCATTCCACGTTAGACCAATCAAATTTTTATGAACAATTTTATTTTTATAATTTTGGTGTAACAGCGAAATTATAAGGTCAAACTTTTGAAGATCCTGATATTGAAATTCAAACGAAAATATTAAAAAAAAAATGAAATTAAGAAATTACAGTCAATGATCGACCATATATTCTCTCGTTGGTGGCAAACATTTCTACTGCATCATCAATCGACTTTTGACGGCGTAATACCGATCTGCGCAGCGACTTGAACTTTGACTTAGTTACAGTGTTATTTTTATGTCTTAGTTTATGTTTTCTAATCTAATTAAGCTAAGGTAAATTCGGCTGGTCAAGTCCGATTCAATCGAGTTTCTGAGTATTTGGTTGGTAACTTGCATACAATTCTCAGCATCAAAGAACATCTAAATCCATATATACATTTGGACAATAATGTATGTGCAACATATACATATATGTACAGTAATATGCTTTCCATACTATGAAACTTGCTATGAATCGACCTGAGGCACGAACGATGTAATAAACAATCTATACATAGTGTGTGTTTCTTTTTTGTGAAGTATTTAGTATTCAATGTATAATTATTTATTAGTTTTAACTGCATATTTAGATTTATTGTATATACATATGAAAAATTAAATAATCAACTGTATAAAAAGGCATATGTTAATGTGTAAAGAAATTTTTTGAGTATTTCACAATAAAATTATTTTGTTCGTTCTCCTTAAAACAATTTTTTACTTTCCAACCGGATAATTAATGGTCTTTCCTAGGGAGTTATTTTCTCTGGGAAATAAAAATAAAGTTTTTCACAATATCCATAAATCGTTTGCTCTAAATTAGAACAGCATACACGAAGATCTGCGGACGATGTACGCTGTGTGATGTACATATATTTGGAATGTAGTGCTGATTAAAAAATTGATGCATTTTGATCGGGAGACTCCTGAGACTATTATATCGCAACACTTTACAAAATAATGAACTACTTGGACTTTTATTAAAATATTTTTTTTTAGTTAACATTTGTTTTTTTTAATACATATGTATCAGTATCTGTTTTACATATTTACATAAATGTNATAAAATTATGTTGTTCGTTCTCCTTAAAACAATTTTTTACTTTCCAAGCGGATAATTAATGGTCTTTCCTAGGGAGTTATTTTCCCTGGGAAATAAAAGTAAAGTTTTTCACAATATCCATAAATCGTTTGCTCTAAATTAGAACAGCATACACGAAGATCTGTGGACGATGTACGCTCCATTAAATAACTTGAGAAGTGATATATATATTTGGAATGTAGTTCTGATTAAAGAATTGAAGCATTGTTATCGGGAGACTCCTGTGACTATTATATCGCAACACTTTACAAAATAATGAACTACTTGGACTTAAATTAAAATATTTTTTTTAGTTAATATTTGTTTTTTAATACATATGTATCAGTATCTGTTTTACATATTTACATAAATGTACATACATATGTATATGTATGTATGTATATCTTAAATTTCTTCAATTATAAAATTATTCCACGCGAGCTCTTCGTTGGACTCATTCAGCGGTGGCACATCTGTATATGTTAGATCACAAAAATTGTCTTCGGTAACTTTTGAAAGAAAATAACTATCTCCATCCAGGATACTACTATCAAGCATATACTTAACAGATTCATCTTCAGGCTCTCCTACAGTGGTTACGATAGTTTCCGCATTTGTCTCCTCTGTTACAGGAACGTCTTCCGGTTGTAATACAGCATGTCGTTCCAAATGAACCTTGAACGCATAGCGTTTAATAAACGACTTCCCACATATAGTGCATTTATAACGCCTTTCTCCTGTATGTGTACGCTCATGATTTCTTAAGTCACATAATTGCGCGAAGCTACGATTGCAAGTAGTGCACTGATATGGTTTCTCACCAGTATGTGTTCGCATATGCAGTTGTAAAAGGAAGACACGTGAGAAACGTTTTTGGCACAAGTTGCAAGAGTGTGGTTTCTCTCCAGTGTGAGTTCGTATGTGCGCGGTCAGATTGCTGGTTTCATAGAAAGTTTTATTACAAATTGAGCAAGCATAGTCCGGTTTTCTTGCGTGGCGTTTCAAATGCATTGAGCAAGCTGATTGGGTCTTAAATGCCTTGGGACATTGTGTACATTTGTACGGGCGTTCACCGGTATGAGTACGCAGATGCATATTAAACGCGAATGTTGATTTCATATGTTTTCCGCAGAAATCACATTTTCGCGGAGNAACATTGTGTACATTTGTACGGGCGTTCACCGGTATGAGTACGCAGATGCATATTAAGCGCGAATGTTGATTTCATATGTTTTCCGCAGAAATCACATTTTCGCGGAGTTGAGGCAGCGGATGTGCTTACAATTGCATTACTTGAAATGTTTGTATTGTCGACGGTTATAGGCGAAAACGGTTTTACACAACTCTGGCTATGGTTTCTGTAAGACTCCTCTAACAAAAAAGTGTGACTGCAATTAGCACAAATATATGGTTGCAAAAGACAGTGCACCTTCTCCAAATGTCGTTGAAGGTTGAAGGCTTGTAAGAACACGGCACCACAAGCATCGCATGTGTATTCCTCATCGAGCTAGGAAAGTCCAAATTTAGATTGATATTTTCATTGAAAATGTGTTTATTTACCTTTTGTTCTTTAGCTAGATTTCTTCGCTTTTCTTGTTCAAAAGCTTCAAATCGTCCATCTATCTCGTCTGCTTCCTCATCGACAATGTTTTCGTAGAATTCCACGTTTTCGTAAAATTCCTCACACTTTGCTTCTCCTTGTTCAGTCGATATCTCTGCATTCAACTGAGCGCTTGTCGACAATTCATCTTCAACTTCTATTCCCGTTAAATTGATTTCTACAGCTTCTTCGGGGTCTATCTCGAAAATATTGCTGTGAATTTCTAATAATTGTGAATCAGATGTAGTTCCAGGCTCTTTGCTGTTTGCCGCGCAAATATCATCAATAGGCAAAGATTCCTTCCAAGTTGTCATATCTAGAAGTTGTTGTGTGCGTTCACATTTTTCTCGAAACTTAGCAGCTACAAGTAGTTCAGTCGTACACTCTTGGCAAAGAAACTTTGGGAGACCATCGGACTCTGCTACCTACGTGTATTAGTGCTTACACATGGACGTTAACAATATTTAAAGCTATTGGATGCAAATACCTTGATACCACCACAGCGCTCCAGCAGCGTGATGAGATCCGATTGTAAATCCTCGATAATGCCGTTATCGTAAATGTGGACCATCAAATCTTCAAGTTGAAGACAAACACGACAACAGAGTTCTACTTCCGAGCCATCTCTGCTGCCAATATGTGGTTCACAATTCATTCCAAAGTATATTCAAAAGTCCTTTTCGCACTGCGCCAGGATGATGAGATCGTCTACGCAAGTTATTTTATTTACGAATCGTGCATGAAGAGTAAAGATGAAACCTCCAGATGTCGTGAAAGCTATGTTTGGTAAATGAGGGCGTTGAATTATTGCAAATCAGCGCAATAGTTTATCAGCTGTCAAATTCACATACGAAGATTAATCGAAATGTACATCGATATTTCTCGATGCATCGAAGGGCATACATCGATGCATCGATTTGCATAGGATTTTTNACAAATCAGCGCAATAGTTTATCAGCTGTCAAATTCACATACGAAGATTAATCGAAATGTACATCGATATTTCTCGATGAATCGAAGGGCATACATCGATGCATCGATTTGCATAGGATTTTTCAGATAACGTTTCACAACAAAATATGTTATTAGCAAAATTGTAGAAAATTTGAAATAAATTACTGCAACTGAGCTAGTTATGTTTCTAACGGAACTTATTGCAGTCATTTAAATTTTTTGGTCAAAGTCCCTTCTTTTTTTGAACAATTGAACAACTGGAATGACGGTTCAATGTACCGTAGATGTCAGTTTTCAAAAAACATCGATACATCGACTATTTAAACATTGAGTGAAACATTTTCGATGCATCGAAGCAAAACATCGATATTTTGAGTATTTTTCATCGATGTTTTTCCGAAATCCCTAACCCACCCTAATCCTCGTACTAGCAACGATTATCATCATGAATTGATGTGCATTCCAGACTCCTGTTTTAAATAAATTTAATGTCATCTGTTGATAACACAAAGGATTGCTTAGCTTGTCGCTTAATTAGCGGCTTTGGTTTAATTGCAATGGGTGCTTACATATTATCACAATCAAAGAATCGCAGAAAAATTGAAATGAATACCATGCGTTTACTTTCAGGAGGTTAGTATGCTGTTCTAATATTTTCCTATGTACGCATTTGGCTAAGGAATCACCTACATATGTATTTAATATTTTGCAGGCATAATGTTCCTTGGCATAGCGCGACTTTCTAATGCAAGTTTTCTAAAAAGCAAATAAGATACATTTTTGCTTGACAAAAACATTATAATATAAAGTTTTATATTCTTAACATTAGCTTAAGTCAAATAAAAATATTAGATTTTAAAGTTAAATAAAATAATTTTATTAATCTTCGCCGCTATCTTCGCTTGTATCCTTGTTTGATGCGCCACCATTTTCTTCATCATCCTCTTCGTCCCAGTGTTTAATTTTTTTATTTGTCATAAAATCTTCCCTAAGCACACTCCACTCGGATTTCCTTTTGCTTTGTGTACCGGCTGGGGCATTTTGATCACCTTCGTCAGCGCTAGTGTCTTCGTCCTTCAAATTTTCACTCTTTACTGGATTATCCACAGCTTCTGATTTGGCTCGGTTGCCGCTCATGAGTACATCCAAAAATTTCCTCTTATTTATATTATTCAAAACAGCATCCTTTCGACTATCCAATGGCCCTGCCTCCTCCAGCTGCACCTGAATATCCTTTTGTTGAATGCGTACTGCGTTGAAAAGCTGTACAACACCTCGCGTCGCTACTTTGCGTAAGGTGCGTTCACGTTCAATATCTTTCCAGGAAGGTTTCACGCGTAATTCTAGTGGTACATTCTTTCGTTGTTTACCTTGTTCTTCTCCCTCCTGTTTTATTGGCTGCTCATCTAATTTCTGCTCGCCCTCAACTTCGAAACCGTAATCCAAAGGTTTTGACTTTGTTTGGTCGGCTGGTTTTACCTTTTTGGCTCGTGACAACACTAGAGTTTTTTTAGTTTTGGGTTTAGAAGTGTTTAGAACCTTTGCTATGCAGTCAGCCCAGCCGGCGTTGCCTTCTGCATCATTTTCAGATGCTTCTTCACCAGATCTCTCTACATCAGAATCGTCTGTGTCTCGTGGTTTTGGAAATGCTATTAAGAAACATATGTATTTTAAAGCAGTTAAACCAAATAATAAGTTATTGCTACCTTGTTTTTGTGTTTTCAATTTTAAGCCAGATAAAGCCATTTCATGGATATATGGACGATCAACTCTTTTTCAATCTATCTGTGCTATTCAATTTCTGCACGTTTTTTTATTTATTTACATTCGTCAAGATAAAAATGTGCAATTTTTATCGATATGTACAATTCATTATTAATTACAGTTATTAATGCTCGATAACATCAGTGCTAAATCGGTACCAAACCTGTGTTTTTGGGTACCAGGGATGCCAACCCTTTAAAGTCTTATACCCTCGAATGTCTAATAAAATCCATAATTTGTGATGATATTCCCCCAATGATTTTCTCTTATTATTTAACACATTTGATTCTGAGAAAAAAATTGTGAAGTGGGCCACCAATTTTTCGAAGGTCGAGCTTTTTTTATGCAAATTATTACAAATTTTACAATTTTTCGAAATTCGAATTATTTCGGAAGTTATAGCTATCAAAGAACGTAAATGTACATTTACGTTCTTTGGTATATACGTGTTTTTTTTTAGTGTGGTTGGTTTTTTGTCAGATGTTGTTTAGTTATTTTTAGAAGTGGCAACCGTGCGTCAAAGCGACGAATGTGGATCGCAAGTGGATCATACCAAATGACAGCGCAAATTGACAGCTGTTGTTTTTTTTCCGAGGGGTATATGTTAGTGGAGCAAAGCTGATTTATTAAAAATCATTAAATTGATCAAACTTTGGTAGAGTAAATATAGAATATCTTCCGAATATGATTAAGCTGAAATTAGAAGCACTGGAACATCCAACTCCCAGCAATGTAGATATCAATGGTGAGAATAACTATAATATCCACACTGAAATATACATACGTATGTATGTATATATCGTTACGCGCATTTATGTATGCACCTTAATTTTTTACAGATCGTAAAGTATTTGCTAGTACTATTCTGTGGTTAGAAGACCAAAAAATACGCCAGTATAGAATAGAGGATCGTGAGGATCTCCGCAAGGTTGATCAACTTGACATATGGGAGCAAGCGTATGAAAACTATAAAGCAGATCTTGGCATGCCACAATTCTGCACTCCAATAGAAGAAATAACTTGGGTGCTTGGCTATGCCATTCGATTGGAATTTTTAGATGCTCCCGAAAATTACAAAGCTATAAATTCCATAGAGGTGAGCAAGCAGCAAAATAAGTCTCTCGCACCTAGCATAAAAGCGGAAAATTTCTTCGACAACCTGGATTGTAAGCATGCTCCAACTCTTTAATTTTTAATATTAAATTTATGCTAATTTCATGTTTTTAGTTAATCACAAAGATTTCATAGCTGGAGTACGCTCGTTAGCCAACAAGCTTAAAATTCCACATCACCCAAATCATCTTGTACAATTGGAGGCTATTGCCCGTGTTGTACATGAAAGACTTTCACCTTCTGCTAAGAATCGTCAGCCGATAACTGGAACTCCTTTTCCTTTTGAAAAGGGTAATGATGTGGTGACGGATGATCCCGCTTTGGATTATTCTGTCCGCATTTTGCGATTATTACAAATACAAAGTTTACGCCAGTTACAAACAAAAATCAATGAAACAATTGTAGCTGTTCAAGATTTAATTGCTAATCCTAAAACAGATACAAAACTGGGAAAGGTAGGTCGATAAACACTGTAACAACTTTCGAGGAATAACATCATTTTGCACATATATACATATGTGTTTATTTTTTATTATGCTTTGAATATTGAAAATACACAGATAATGCAGTCATTTACTTAATAAGTAGACTATGTGTTTGACTTGGTGAATATATTTGAAGCGGGTTAGCCGCATATATTGCAGTAACCGGTAAGTTCCACACCATGGTTTCGACTGGTATTTCCGCAGGGGCTTTTAGTTCACCTTCAATTGGATTGGGTTTCCCAAAGTCCATCATTGTGCTTGTGACGAATTCAAAATGTAACCGCCAGCGTAACTCCACCAAATCAGTTCGAAATGAGGGTGTTACATGCAGTGGAATAGGTATAATTACAGAGGTCTTCAACATGGCATAGCAAACTTGGTGTATGGTGGTAAACGTGCTCACCTTTCCTACAGGTTCTTCAGCTTCTGCATTGCGCGCACTAGCCGATGTCTTCGATTTGTGAAGATTATCTATTGCTGTACCGCTTGCAACACTTGCCAAGTCTAATGAATTTACTGATGAGGCGTCGTTTAAGTCACCACTGGTCTGGTTGGCGTTGGATTGCAGAGATATTTCTTGTGATTGTAGTTTAACAGAAAACTGTACGCAACGCACATTACAATTACTGAAGTCCAAACTTCCAACAATGTCTTCACCAATTTTGTAAGAAGACTTAAACAGGCAAAAGCGTCCGACAAATCCACGCTTGTTAGATATACGGTAATATTTAGGTGCCCGACGGGCAGTTACATTCTAAACAAATTCGAATATTCTTTAACAGTGAAATTAAAATGTCTCAAAAATACTGTCATAAATTTTACCTTAAGATGATGCCAAGATATCTCCAGTTCGGAAATTTCACGCTTTTCTAGGAAGGGATTTGTGGGTGCTAGCTCGTCATTTGTTTCTTCAGTGCAGTGCATCTCATCTAGGCGCGCAATAATTGGAATAGGTAGAACACGTATAGGCACAGCAAGCATTTGTACCTTGGATTTAACTCGTTGTGTGGCTATTGTAATTTTGTAGAAATACTTAATGTCGTGCCCTCGATATGTTGGTGGTCCGTTACGTGGCAAAATTTCATTGAAAAAGTCTGTAAACAAAATTGGTACCAATTACAGTCTCACTAAATTCTGCAATTTTTATACTTACATATTTTGGTTTCACCTGGCGACAGTTTTAAATCACAAAATAAAATTTTAGGATTTGTAGCAATTATGATGTCGCCACTTGCTTGTGTTACAGCATCCAATGCTGTTTTGCCTACTAGTTCTGCCAATTCATTCACTTTATCACTGGTTGCAACATTGTAGCTCGTCTTGCGATAACAATGTAACTGCGCCGAGGCCCAAGCTAAATTTTCCATGCGGCTATTGTGTAGAAAAGGGAACAGGGAGTTTTAAATATTCTTTTCGACAATACCAATCTTATACATACATGTTATCACCACCAGGTGAACCAATGTGTGTGAATTCAATGAGACACTCCACTCTTTCTCCTGTAGCGTATATGGCCGAATCAGCGCGTACTAGCTTTGCCCTTATTTCAATCATATTACGAATGTTTAATTCCGATGACTTCTAGTTTATATCTATTATTATTTATTTTGTAGTTTAAGGAAGCTATATGTACTATAATTAATGTTGATATCAGGTGGTCAGCTGTGAATGTCTATAAACATATTACTGAAACATAACAACTCCTACCCATTGTTGCTGAGAAACATAATGCTACACCTAGTGTCATCTGTATAGGTTTAGTAATTTTTATGGAATATCTAGCATATTCTAAACAATTTTCATTAAAAGACCAAAGAACGTAGATCTCTAGATTTTGGTAACCGGCAATTCGATGTTTGGTAATTTTTACCATATATCTTAAATAATTTTACACAAACAAAATACATGCGGAAAATTACCGAACGCCAAGTTACCGAGTACTTAGCTAGGTGAAACCGGCCGCCTTCACGTGTTAGGAAATCTCGCTTGCGTGCCGACGCATTGAAATCGATTAAGCGGTGACTGTCCGTCTGTGCACACGATAACTCGAGTAAAAATGGAGTTATCTGAATGAAACTTGGTATGCGTAGTTCTTTTATGCGTGGGGCGAATGGTATCGAAAATACACAATATCGGACAATAACCACGCCTACCTCCCATATAACAGTAGTTTTCTGAAATACGAAAACTGTGATATTTTAGTAACTACTGAGGTATATTAACTCAAAATTGATTAATACTATAATTTTTACATGAAAAATAAGAACACCGCTCCACCAATTTCTCCCAAATTTGGCACAGTTGTTGGCCTTGGTACAACAAACCAAACGGCTGAAAATTTTTAAAATCGGACAATAACTGCGTCCACATCCCATATATAACGGTAATTTAGAGAAATACGAAATTTTCTATAAATCAATACTGAAGCAATTTTATTCAAAATTGATGCATGGACGAAAGACACAAGGTCACGCGGGAAGGAAAGAAAGAAAAGTTATTTTCTAGCTGCCGAAATCTCGACGCTATCTTTGTTGTAAGAAGTACACAACGAAGAGAACGGAGAAAACCGCGAAATTGTTGAACGCATGAATAATCATTTTTATTATGCAAATTCTTCTATAAATCATGCCGCTGTGTTAAATTATTCTTTATCTTATGTGTACACACGTTGTCACAGGCGAAAATAAAGAAAATTGCAGTAAAAGGCCACCACCAAATTGTAAACAACGAAGAAATATAAACAAACGGCTAAATGCGATTCTAATGGGCTACTGTCCTGCCCGCGTGATCTTTTTTTTGGTTCATGAAATTGATGTTTGCAATAATTCTTTTGCAGAAAATACGTTTGTGATGCAATTTTGGAAAATAGGCGTGGAACCGCCCACTTATGACCACATATTTGCATCTCGGTTAACGTTCGATCATTCCACGAGAAAGCTTTGAAAGAGGATAGTGGGCATAAGAGCACGAGCGAAAATGTGATGCATAGAAGGAGGTACCACAGCGAGCTCGACTACCTCTGATCTGCGAATGCCCACCACGTTGAATGGGGCAGTCCCTACTTGAGTATTTTATAAGTGAAGATCTGAATGTAAACAATGTTAGGCAATGTCGAACATTTGTCACTAGAGCCAGGCAGGAAGTCTTGACCTGACTTTCAGCAACGATCTGGGTAATAATCTGATAAGACAATGGTGGGTGTCTTCGGAAGGTCCAAGGACACAGCCTTGTATCAACTGACAACCGGGATTCGGGGGGCCCTCGAATGCAATGAATCAGTGCTCTGCGCCTTTCTCGATATAGAAGGTGCGTTTGACAACACGTCACACTCTGGAGTGCGCAGGGAACTAGAGGGGAGAAACGTACAGCCAGCGATCTGCAATTGGATGGATGCGCTCCTGCGTACAAGGATTGCTGAAAGCGAGGTATGGGACAGCGTGGTACAACTTCAGACAACAAAGGGCTGCCCGCTGGGAGGGGTCTTATCATCCCTTCCGCGGAGCTAAGTGGTGGATGAACTCCTTCAGCTTCTCTCTGACATCGGTATTCACTGCCAAGGCTATGCGGAAGATATTCGTGGTCAGCGTTGCAAGCGATGTTAAGTATCTGGGACTAATCATAGACACCTATGGTATGTAAGCGTCTGGCGGGAAAATCCTGGGGACGTACGCCCAGGTTCCTAAGATGGCTTTACATCATAATAGTGCAGACAGTGACATCTATGGGGAGGTAGGATGGGTTTCAAGAACTGCTCTAGCAATGGTGAGATAATCGCTCACCAAGCTACAACGACTGGCATGTGTATGCATAATAGGAGCGATGCGCACACGTCCGACGACGGCGCTGGAAGTAGTCCTTGAACTTGAGCTTCTTCATATACCCATAGAGCAGGCAGCCAAAAAAACTCTGCTTAACATTGCGAGAGAGGGATTTGGAAAAGGCAAAGTAATTTCCTCTAGGAGTATGGAGAAGTTAGGGTCCTCGCCCCACTATCCCTGTTACCTAGAGATGACATAGGCAAGACTATGGTCTTTCAGAAGAGGTTCAAAATAGAGCTTTGCAGTAAAGCAACCTGGGGTGTCTCCGCTTACGAGGCACTACTGCAGGGTTGCACTCTGCACTGGTACACGGATGGCTCGAAGACGCTAGAAGGAATAAGTGCTGGAATCGTCAGACCCAGGGCCAGGATCTCTGTTCCTATGGGGGAATGTCCGAGCATCTTTCAAGCGGAAGTTTACGCCATCTACTGATGTGCGGATACAATCATGAGTAGAGGGTATAGAAATGAGAGAATCATAATCCTAAGTTTTAGCCAGGCAGCACTCAGGGCCCTTATATCCTATGAGGTCAAATCTTCGCTGGTCCTGGAGTGCATTGAGAAGCTTAACTCACTTGGTAGACACAATAACATGAAGTTAGAGTGGGTAACTGGTCATCAGGGACTAGAGGGTAACGAGGCAGCTGACTGTCTCGCAAGAGAGGCGGCAGTCATTGCTTCAGTTGGCCCTGAGCCCTTCCTAGGAGTGTGTCCAAATACTCTGAAAGAGGAGGTTACGATAGAGAGGAACACTATGAGGGATCTAAACTCGCAAAGTTCGTCAGTAATGCGCCAGGCAAAGAGTTTACTGGGAGGTTTTAACAGAAGAAGATTCCAAGGTTTAATTGAACTCCCAAAGGGGCAGCTTAAAATAGTAATAGGTATCGTCACAGGACACTGCAGGCAGCAGTACAAAAAGTTAATTGTACTCAAAATGTATTCAACAAAGTGTGATTGATTTTGACATTGCTCTCATAAGAAACAGGCATGAACCAAAAAGACAAGATCACGCGGGCTGGAGACTAGCCCGTTAGAATCGCATTTAGGAAAAAAGTTGAACGATTTTGACATTAACCGTTTGTTTACATTTCTTCGTTGTTTACCATTTGGTGGTGGCTTTGTACAGCAATTTTCTTCATTTTCGCTTGTGACAACGTGTGTACACATAAGATAAAGAATAATTTAACACAACGGCATGATTTATAGAAGAGTTTGCATAATAAAAATGATTTTTCATGCGTTCAACAATTTCGCGGTTTTCTCCGTTCTCTTCGTTGTTTACTTCTTACAACAAAGATGGCGTCGAGATTTCGGCAGCTAGAAAATAACTTTTTTCGTTCTTTCCTTCCCGCGTGATCTTGTGTCTTTCGTTCATGAGAAACAGGCTATAATGTCAAATTGAAACGAATTGTTAACCCATTTGAAAATATATATTTTTTTTCAAATTTGAATTTGTTTCAAAAAAAAATTACACAAACATTGTTCGAGCAACAAATTTTCTTAATAAACGTGAAATTGTTAAGAGATAAACCGCCGAGGAGAGCAAGTAAGCACATTTAACGTTTGGTAATAAGTAAATATGTACGTTCGACTTTTCTTAAATATTTAATGTAAGGAAACCAAGATGAAACGGAGCAAAACTTTTGAACGGTGCGCTGTATGCAATAGAAGTCAGGACACGAAAATAGAGCGATGTTTTAAACCACCTAGTTGCGAGTTAAGACGGCAGCGATGTAGTTTGTGCTACGTGATTCATCTCGCGTTTGTGAAAACCACTTCAAGGAAAGTGATTTCATTTGTTGTCCGTCCGAGTCAAGCACTTTCAAACGAGCTCGTTTATACCCAAACTATTTCGCATAAAAAAATTTTATTTCAAAATTGTTAGAGTTAAGCTCTCATATAAAATTGGAAACAAATGTAAAATCATACTTCTATAAGTGTCGAATAATGTTTAGGATTAAAAATTTAAATATAAAAATAAACGCACAAAAGCATAAAACTTGGGCAATTAAAAACAAGAAAATTGCTAAAACGATTTTATAAACAATTTGTTTTATTTTATTGACAAAATATATATATTTCAGGTAATGTAAGTAAAACAAAACTATAATCAAAATAAGAGCCTTTGTATCAGTGCTAACAAGATACATGCATCACTAAGGGTTAATTCGTTTGTTTATACTTTTTGACATTATAGTACCTTAAAAGAGAGCCGCACTGAGTTGTCAATCACACCTTGTTTAATACACCTTGATTGTACTGTAATTTGGTCATCTTGAGCGTTTATTTAACAATCCAGCGATATTACCTAGAGATTTTTGGTAAATCCGTCAAATGTTCAAGGATAATCATAACAATATCTTTTACATATATGTACGTATGTATGTACATATTTACTTTTTATTTACGATTAATTTAGGGGATTCGTTTAATTAAATTAGTTTACGGTCTAAAATTTTCATAAACCTACGTTATCATTATTCTTATTCCTTCCTTCTTAGTACAGAACTAGTGTATCTGGCAACATTGACTAATCTGACAGTCAGATTTCTACATTTTTTGATTGAAACGAACGCGACGAACACAGTGGAGCAGAAGGATTTCGGTTTTTGGATACCTGTACACTTTTAAATAAAAAGTTAAGTGTAAAAAATTAATTGTTTGCAGAGTGTTCAAAGCAAAGTATAACGTGTAAGTTTTATTTTAAACCAAACCAATTTTATTATTAACATATGGATATAGGCGTTGAAGGCTATTGAAATTTTTTCATGTCGGCTTATTTCATTTTTCCATTTGCTTTGTGCCGACTTTTTCTGTGCTGCAGCAATGGCGGTGCTATTGTGGAAAGTGCAAGAGGAAAAAAGAAAGAAAGAAAAAGAAATTTGCTGCCTACGTTGCATTTTCGCTGCCAGGCAGAACCGAAATTAAATATTTTAAGTGTAAAACGTGAAATTTTTTACAAGTTGGTCGAGGTAAGACGTTCATTAGGGGAACTGATTTTCCATTAGCAGTCTTCTATCAATAGGTACCCAATTTCATTAGTATGGGCATGTCTCTGAAAGGATATCGTGAAAAGGAGCAAATTTATCATGTTATAAAATTATCTCGTCATATTAGAATCTTGCAATTGGTTGGACTCGCTGTAAAAAAAATAATAATTGGTCTTATTAGCTTCAAAATTTGGCGTGCAAAATATGCAGTGGTTTCAAAATTATGTATGACCCAAGTATGACCATTAATATTCTACTTCCGTGGAGACAGGGGCGGAAGAGAAATTGTTTTTAAACGGGCGTGGTTAAAGGATAAAAAGTTAAAAGAATCCGGCCTAAAGTGTACAATTTAAATTGATAATCATA